GGGGGGGGGGGGGGGGAGTGATGTCCGGTAGCAACACCCCATGCAGTTTGCATGCATGCACGCACGCACGTCGTCTGGCTTACCAATCACTGCGTACCTTTTTCCTCCCACCATCTGTTACTGTATTATTATTTTTTTCTTATTCGTTACGATTGGGGAAGCTGTTGTAGCGTTAACCATCACTCACACATACGACAACGACGACGACAACAACAACAACAAAGAGGCACGGATGCGGAGATGTGCCATTCCCGTGTGTGGTGGACGTGGTATGCTGCAGTGGCGGCGTCTCACGGCACGGGGAGGGGCGCCGCTCGAGCACCTTAGCCGCGAGTGGGCCTGGCGCACCGCCCCACCAACTGCAGCGGACGCGAGGAGCAGAAAAGGTAACGGCCCTGTTGACAACCTGCCACCGTGGCCAGTCGACGACGTGGAGTTCAACACGCGGGCCCCTGGTGGTGGCCACGACATGCGCCGCGCGCACGAGAGAGAGTTAACCCTTCTTACCGGTCTCAATGAGGACCGCAGCGAAAGCGTCAAGGGGGGCAGCTCGAGTGTAGTGCGTACCAGGGAACAACTAAAGCCGCAGCCGCTGACAGAGGAGCGCCTGTGCGAGGTGCGCGAAGTGGAGGAGACAGGAGAGGGCGTACGCGCACTTGCAGCAGGCGGATGGGTGTGCGGCGGGTGCCTGCGATGTATGCCGCACCGCTCTCGCTCGGTGTGCGACCACTGTCGCGCTATTCGTCACGACGCGGCGACAGCGGTGAGCCGCTGGCGTGAGAGCGCCACGACGTGGTTCTGCAGCCGCTGCCACGAGTTCAACTTTGACCGTGACGTGGCGTGTCGTTGCTGTGACTTGCGACGCGACGAGCAAACGGAGCTGAGTGTGGTGCACCACGAGCGCGTCTTGGATGAGGTGCAGCGCTCCCCTGTTGGCTCTGTAATAGTGACGAGGAATCGTGTGGCACGGTGGCGTTGCTCCAGCTGCGGTGAGTCCAACTCTCTTCAGAGGTCCCTTTGCAGGAACTGTGAAAAGGGGCGTTTCGACTTTGTGGTGCGATGCCCCGGGTGCAATGCATCACAGGCGCTGAGCAACAAGCAAATGTACGGCACTGACCCCACCGACCGCACCCACGTGGTGCGCCCATTCGGCATGCACAACTGCTTTCCTCGCCTCTCACCAGAGCAGCGCTGCAGCGTGTGCCGCAGCTCCTTGCATGGCGGCGCCGCCTCCGCCCGCAGTGACGCGTGGCTGTGCGCGTGTGGGCAGGTGTGTAACTCCGCCGTTGTTTCGTGCACGCGTTGCCGCCTTCCGCGGCGGCTGCCGCAGACCACTATGTTGGAGGAGATGCTGCGCGTGTGGGACTTTGCGGCCACCACAAACTGGTATTGCGAAGGCTGCAACCACGCCAACAAGGCGTCGCGGCATATTGTGGCATTGGAGCGGCACAACACACCGCTGGCATCAGGCGCCGCGGCGCCGCGGGGGAAAGACACCACCGCGGTGAAGGTGGCGCGCATCGTGCACGGCCACACGAGGTGCGAGCATTGTGGTCTGCAGTGGCACCACCAGTCGGTCAACGACGGTCAGTACTGGCGGTGCGCGTGCCACAAAGTAAACCGCCGCGACGACGTACGGTGTCAGGTGTGCTTCCTTCCTGCTGTGGACGGTATTCGCTCAGACGTCCTCTCTTTCTGGTCGCGCGGGGATTGGTACTGCCTCAGCTGCCACCGGCAAAACTACAGAGAGAAGGTGACCTGCACGTGCGGTGAGGCACGCCCGAAGGACTGACAGTGTGTGAATGATGGCGGGCGGGGCGTGCCGGAGGAGAGACAGCTGAGGCTCGCTTAAGGTGCCCGCAGCTGTGTTGAAGCATTGCTGGGGATACAGGTGCCCACAACGCATCATAATCCTCACATGAGCGGAGGGGTTTGGCTTCTCCTCAGACATCCTAACAGAAAAGGTGGAGTAGCGTGTACCGCCTCCCAATCTTCCCTTGGTTTTCGTTCCTGTAGGCTCCGTCGTTTCGTCACACCACAGCCCCCTCGCCCCCCTCCCATCTTCCTTGAACACATTCTTTCTCTCCCACCTTCAATTGATGCGCAAGCTTGTGTGTGTCTGTGTAGCTTGAAATTAGCAGGAGGAGACGCAGATCAACTGGAAATGTCCTCGCGTATCGTTGCCTTCCCCTACACACCGTCCGCCGATGCGCCATTTGCGGATGTCTGTTTGTCTGTAAAACCGGGTGCACGTCTGCGTGTGGTGCGCCGTGCCGCGCCGTGGGCCATTGCGGAGGCGGATGGGCGGATCGGGATATTCCCTCTCGTCTTCACACGCGATGAGCATGAGGGGAAACTTGTGATGCGCACCGCACGACAGGATTCCTCAGTGGCCGCGTCGCTCCCGCCGGAGGAAAGCATCGTGGCCGATGACAATGATGATGCAAATGCAGAGAGTGGGGCAGCGACTCCCGCAGGAGCTGAGTGCCGTGCGGGTGAGGCTTCCTCTTCCCCCAAAAGCAATAGCCAATACAACAAGCGTAGTGGCAGCAACCACAGCAGTGACAGCAATAGTGGAAGCATCAGTGGAGCTTCTGCTTCTGAGGAACATACCGGGACCCCTGATGCTCTCTTCACAAGGGTTCTCCGTTCCACTGAGAGACAGGGAAGTACCCGGGGCGGCGGCAACCGTGACCGTGGGACTGGCGCAATGCGTGATAGCGTTGACGAATCCGTCACAGAAGCTAAGCGGCGCGAGGCGGAGGAAAATGAAGATGAGATCATTGCCCGCAATCGCCTCCGCCGAGCACCAAAGGAGGAAAAAGTTAACCGGCTCATCTCGCTCATGCAGCAAAAAGGTGAGGAGGACCCGGAGGTGCGGAACTTACGGCAGCAATACAGGGAGCTGGAGGTGGAGCTGGCGTGGCTTTCCCACACCACGGACCGCGTCGGGGCGGAGCGGCAGCGTGTTCTTGACGCGCGTGCCACGTGTGTACAACAGCGTGCGGCGCAGCAGCAAGCCTTCGCGGAGGAGTTGGAGTCGCTGAAACACGTCTTCTCCTCTAAGAGTGCAGATGTAGAGAAGCTGCAGAGGTGCGCCGCCTCTCTCCGCTCCATCTTGCAAACGAATGGTGTGGTTGAGGGTATGCCGTCCTCCCCACACAGCACGTGCAGTGCACCTCACGAGCTGGAGGCGGAGGAAGGCGGCAACGTGCAGGAGCCGACGGAGGAGGAGTTGGCACAGAACCCCGTAGCCGCTGCGGAGGTGGAGGCACTCAAGAAGTGTGTTCACCAGGAGCAGGAGACTCTGCGGGACTACGACGAACAGCGTAGGCAACTGCGTGCCCGAATGGAGCGGCTGCAACGCGTGCAGGCGGCGATCGACGAGGAGTCGCGCGCCCTTCAGGAGTCAGAGGATGCCCTCGACGTGGCGGCCCCCACCAGCACATACACCGTCGTGCGCAACAGCGGTGCCGACGGCGGCGGAGGCGGCAGCAGCACCAGCGGCAACGCTGACGGCAATAGTGCGCTGCAACTCGTGGGAAGCAGGCGGTCCTCCGTCGTCTCACAGAGCAGCGCGGGGGACGTTGACGTCGTGATGTGCGACGGCTTTGCGTGGCCGGCCACGCTACCCGGACTAACCGCGGAGGAGCGGGACGCCATGGAGAACTACCAGCGGCTCCTCCACAAGTACGAGGGGAAGCGGCAAAAGTGGAAGCAGGAGCATCTGGAAACAAGGAGCGGGGCGTCGCCCGATGTGGTGGAGAAACTGCGGTCGGCTTTATCGACCGGCGACAAGGCGCTGAGTGAGTTGCTGTCACAGACCGAGAAACTGAAGGCGTTTGTGGAAAGATATGGCGCGGTGGCGGCGACCGTTAGCGAGCAGGTGGCGATCAGTCGGAGGCTCCTTCAGCGGCAGCAGACGAAGTGCGAAGGGATTCGCGCCCTCTACGAGGCTGCCAAAGCGGTGCACAACAGCAAAGAAGAAAACAGGGAGACATGCATGGAGGATTTGAGACAGTCGAGCCCATGACGGAGTAAATGTGAGTGAGTGCATGGGCTAGTTTATTCCCCTCCATCCCTTTTTTTTTTTTGCGGTGGTTGTGTTGCTTTTTTTAAAATCTGTGTGGTTGTCGTATCGTGCGTGTGTTTTCGTGCAGCGGTGGCTTGACGCGTGGCACCACAGGCGGTGAGTAGTGTACACTTCTTTTTTGGGGGGTTTTGATGTGCATTGTTTGGCTTTTGTTTCTTTACTTTGCTTGGTGAGAGAAGGGCGGGGGGCTCCGCAAGCGCGATTGCCGTTGCGCCGGACTAACAACGACGCCAATAACAACAATAACAACAACGCCAGCAGCGGTAACCGCACAGGACAACAGATAGGCGTCCATTGTTCATCAAAAAGAGAGTACGGCATATACGTAAGAGGATACGAATAGAGAAGGCTAGGGAAAGTGAGGAGGAGGAGGAGGAGGAGGGAAGTGCAAACAGAGAGGGTACGAAGCACCAGATAAAACAAACAGAAAAAAACGCGGGGAACCCGACTACCAACAGTGACAAATACCGCACGCGCTCATGGCCTTCCTTTGGAAGGCGATGGGCCTCTCTGAATCGGTGCCTGGATTTCCTTACACACCGAGTAGTGGCAGCAGCAGCAGCAGCACCGCGGCATCGCCTACCATCACGTGGACGATGCGCCCTGGCGTGTGTGATGAGGATGGGCGACCCGTCACAATCTTCTCCGTTAACTTAGCGAAGGCGGACGCTGGCATGAAGGATCTCGCGCGACATGCGATGAAGCGCGCAAAGAGCTTGCTGCTGCCTGGCCTTTTGCGTTGCTACGGGGCGACAGAGCACCAGGACACCGTCTACATTGCTACAGAGCCGTGTGAGCAGTTGAGCAGCGCGCTGCAGAAGCAGGCATCCGGTACCCACGACGAAGAGGAAGGTGATGAGGAGGATGCATTTCTCGAGAGCGTCGCGTTGGGGCTCAAGTCGGTGGGTACTGCACTCGCCGCACTGCATCGCCACAACTTAGTGCACGGCAATGTGTCGTGCTGCACGGTGTACGTGCTGCCGGGCGGTGAGTGGCGGCTCTTCGGTCTCGAGCTTGTCAGCACATTCAATGAGCGGCATGGCGTGTACCAGCAGTTCGCCTCACTGCTGCCGGAGTACCGACGTCCGCCGGAGACGCTGCAGGCGAACTACGAGCAGAGCCTGCACGTGAGCAGCACCGATTCATGGGGTATGGCGTGTCTTATTTATGAAGTGCTCGGCGTGGCAAAGGGGCAATCAGTGGCAGCGTGCAAGGGGAGTGAACTGCGTAACTGCCGCTCCCTGCCGCGTACTCTGCAGAGCGGTTTCATTGGGCTCTGTGCCGCCAACCCAAAGATGCGTCATGATGTGGAGCGTTTCTTAGGTAACAGTGAGTTCATCGTGGGGAGCGAGTTCGTGCAGTGCATGCAGGTGCTGGAGGAGTTGTCGCTGAAGGACACCGTGGAGCGGGAGCGCTTCTTTGATCACCTCAATGACGTCTTGGACACATTTCCCAAGAAGGCCTGCAAGTGCCTGGTGCTGCCGAAGCTTCACGCCTCCTTTCAGTTTGGCGTGCTGCCGGGGGTCATCGACCCCATTCTGAAAATCGGCGCACACATCACCTCAGAGGAGGAGTACGGCACACACGTTGCGCCCCTTATTCTCAGCCTGTTCGCGTCGCAAGACAGAATGGTGCGCTATCGACTCCTGCAGCGGTCATCCGAGTACGCAGCATCGCTGCCAGCAAGTGTGGTGAATGAGAAGTTGTGGCCATTGTTTTCGTCAGGATTTAGCAACACGGTGCCTAGCATTCGAGAGTACAGCGTCCGTGCTCTGGTGCCTTTCGCTAAGAGTCTTAGCGATAGTATTTTGCTGAACGAGGTACCTAAATACATTGCACAGCTACAGCAGGACATGGAGGGCGCTATCCGTACAAATGCCACTATAGCCCTTTGCCTCATGGCCGACATGATACCCGCTGATCAGCGTTCGAAGATACTCGTCAATGGGTTTGGTCGCATGCTCAAGGATCCGTTCGTCCCCAGCCGCGTCGGTGCCCTACGTTCGCTTCATACAACGCTGCGGCACTTGACACCACAACACATTGCAGAGCTCATGCTCCCCGGCGTGGCGCCGCTAACTGTGGACAGCGTGCATGAGGTGCGACAGGTAGCGCTGGACGCAATGCGTGGGGCTATAGAGAGACTCGACGCACACCACGCAGAGGAATCCGCGCGGGAGGCGAAAACGGAAACAGCAGGAGAAGGGACAAGTGGGACTACAGGTGCTGTGCCAGACACGAACAGCAATAAGGCCACCAACTCCAAATGGGGGTGGCGGTGGGGCTCCAGCACAGAGGATGCGAAGGCGGGAACAGTGCCACCTCCAGCGGCAGAGACAGTAGAAGCAAAGACATATGGTGAAAACGGCGTGAAGGGCTCTTTCGGGCTTCCGCCGACAACGGCGAAGACGACAATAACAAAAACAAACGACCCTTTCGCCACTTCGGGCTTTGATGACGATTGTGGTGATGATGACCCGTGGGGAACGGATGTGGATGTTGTGCCCGTCACGAGTAGTGCTCCACGTAAACCCTCCAGCCATCGCGCTGACCCAGGCACCTCCACGGATTCTGCGACGGGTGGCCGTGCGATGAAGCTGCGGAAGAAGGGTCTCGGGGCCGCTCGAGTGTTGTAGTCGTGTAGCCACCTGAAGGGCACCATTGTGTGTTCGATAAAAGAGTAGTGTAAAGGAAGGTTGTGGTACCGCGTTGTTTTTTCATTGTTGGCATATACCTCTTCTTCCCCAACTTCTGGCTTGACAAGTTTGTCCTTGAAAACTCATAAATATATACGCCCACAGAGTGTAGCTTGGCTTCCCTTCACCAATATGCACCAGCCACCACTAGAGGAGGCTGAAGTCGCTGTCAGTGGTGCGCTTTGGACTTTCTACGACTCCCTGCGATGCAGTGCCGATGTGTTGGTGCGCACATGTGGAGAGATTACCAAAATGGAGGATGAAGCAAATAGGATTCTGGAACGAAAACCACCAGAAGTAACAACGACAGGGCCATCATCATGGTCGTCGGAAGGGCTTCCTCTGCTGACGGCCCCGCTCTTCTTTGGAGCAGTCGCGAAGCTGAAGGGACTGCTTTGTCCAGCAAGGAGCCGCACGGATTCTGTGGTTGAAGAGAAACAGGCGCTGATGGAGCGTATGCTCGTTCTGGTTAAGGCAATCAGCTGGTTTTGCTTGGCCACGGCACGGCTGCAAGAGGGATCGGTTGTTGAGTTGACCGCGCAAGGGGGAAGCGGCCGCTCCACACCACTGCTTCACCCACACCGCCGCCAAAACAGCACTAGTAATGGGCGTGGTGATGCCAGTGCCAACACTGAGAACCAGGAGAGAGAAACTCAGATGGAGGAGCAAGCGTTTCCCGTCGCCGTGGATGCGGTTGTGCGGCTCTCCACCTATGGGGCGCCGCGACACGGCAAAGGTGGGGGAGTGAAAACCGACGGCACAGAGATTCCTGCAGAAATCTGCACAGAGGTGCGTTTGTCGGTTCTTCACTTGTTAACAGCGGTATTGGTGCGGTTTCGGCATGCCCCGTTCAACGCTGTGCGATACCTCCCCGTGTTGTTCCCGGAGATTGACGTCAGAGACCCACAAGCCATACACCCGCTCCTAACCCCGCTGCTGTGGGACTGCGATCAGGGCGTCCGCGCTGCTGCTGCCACTCTTGTTTCGGCGGTCTTGCACAAGCTGCAACAGAACCTCCAGTACGCGGAGGAACCGCATCCGAAGCGGCAGTCCTTCTCCTCTATGGCGTCGCAGAGCGGACGGGCGCTAGCGTCTCTACACGACGCACTGTTATGGGCGTTGCAGCTACCAGATAAATCCACAAAGACGGGCGACAGTGCTGCTTCTGCCTCTGCTGCCGTTGTTGATGATGATGTTCCCGCTGCCTCTTTCTTCTCCAAGGGCCTCGTTCTTTCGGTCTTTGGGGCACTTGTGACCTCGACACCGTACCGCCGCTGCCCCCACTCCTTGGAAGTGGTACAAGAGGCCTTTGAGCTGCCACTTTTGCGGGAAGCTCTTCTGAACGATGCCTCGGAGGAGTTTGCACCTGCGGCGGCGTTTTTCAGCCAAGTGTTTAGGTCGGGTTGCCTTGCCGGGCTGGTGCAGTCTCATCTTTCGCGTGAGAACGTCAAAGCCATCGACAAGAGTCCAAGCGGCCCAAGACATGACACTAAGGTTTGCTGCATGAACAGCAGTGGCGGTGGAGCGGGGGTGGTGCTCCTTGAGGCACTGCTCACGCATGCTTCACACCGTATGGAGGTGTGGCGGTGCGTGATGCAGCTGTCCCGCATACACCCATCAATTGTAGGGACACACTTCACCGCTTTGATGGAGGCCTCCCGCACAGTCCTACGCTCCTCGCATGGTGCGACGGGCGACAACAAAGACGGCAACAACGGGTCTGTCAAGGACGCTGCGACGGCTTCGGGGGATGTGTTAGGTGAGTGCCTGCGGGCGTGGCTGCACTTCATGGGCTACGTGTGGCAATCCTTCGACGGCCGCCCCGCGGACCCGGCGTTCCACCAGAACCACGCAGCCCACCGCGCCACGCTACTGCAGAAGCAGCAAATCATGACGGACCTCGTGCTGCCTGCTCTTGAGCTCACATCTGGTGGCTGCTGTTTCTACGACGCTCAACGGGCGGCGCTGCGGTGTGTGGCGCAGGTGGGTGATGAGTATTTTTCTGCCCTTTCGGACGCCCAACGTGAGCAGATCGTCGCGCAGGTGATTTCCAACACGACGGCGCACGAGAGCAGCGTGCGGGCGGAGGCCCTCACAACGTTGGGCGTCTGGGCGTGGCAGTACACGGCCTTTGACGCGTGGCTGCCGGAGTTCGTCGACCGCGCCGTGCACGCGCTGTGTAACGACGCTGACGGTGCGGCACGTTTCAAGGCGGCCTTTGCGCTGTCGAACCTCACGTCGCGCCTTGATGAGGAGGAGCGAGACGAGAGTTCGCTGCGGCGTTCACCGCAGCACATGCAGCTGCTCTGCGACGTCGCGCTGCACGCGGCGCAGGCGCAGGAGGACGCGGCGGTCGTCGGTCACGGCATCCGCATGATGAGCCACCTGCTGCGCAGCCTCGGCTTCGAGGAGCTCATC